ATCTAAAGGAAAAAGTTTGCTTTACATCTTATAAATATTATGAATTGCTGAAACACAATCTTCCTATTTTCAGCCCATTTCTGGTTATAATTTCCTTACCACCAAAATCCTCCTAAAAATATATTCCTCCTCTGAGGTCAACATTTCAATCCCTCTTCCCTTCATAAAGTGTTAAATGTTAGAGAAAGTTTCACTTTCAGGATTTTGTCTTGGTATTTCTTTTGTGCTGGAGAAATAATTTATATTTCTCTTCCAGATAAATTCTCCAATGTTTTCCAATTTTGCCCTCCAGGATTTCTTGAGACCTTTTCCAGTTTTTTAGCAGATGATGATTAAGAAATGGGGACAATCAAGAACAAATATGTTAGGATTTCAATACTTAGCAGCTGGTCTGCATCCCTCGCTGCCAGCAGATAGAGAGAGACGGTCACCTTGTCCTCCAGAGCAGACATCCTCTCCTTGAGGTGAAGCTGCAGCCTCTCGTTGGACTCTGACAGGAGCTTATCCACAGTCTCAGAGAGCCGTCTGTTGTGCTCCTCGTTCATCTTCTCTCGCTGCCTCGCCTGCAAATACAGACATAGAAAACACACACAGGATAGAAATATCAACATCTATGCAGAGTTCATTTCAACCACCATAAAGAAAGTAATATTCATGATGAAATAAATGCGCCTCTTAGAGGACTAAGGACTGATCAACGATGTTTCTTCTTATCGTGCATCGAATCTTTTGAATAATGCTGCGTCGCATCCCGTCCTGTTTGGCTCCGCCCTCAGCGTGTTAAAGGTAAACAGACACCACTGAGGGTCTTGTTGATATACCGTATTATCCAGAATATAAGACTAGGTTTTTTTCATTAAAAGTATATAAAAATGTGGGGTCCTCTAATAATCAGGCTCTAACCAATTATAGAGGCTACAGTTGTCGGGGGTCGCTACATGAACAAACAGCAGAGGGCGCTAGTTTTTTTTTAAAGCCAGTGACATCACTGTAGCCGGGGTTTATCTTTCTATCACAGCAGAAAAGAAGTGACAAGGATGCTTCAAATTAGAGCTGGGCGATATGGCAAAAATAAAATATCACGATTTTTTGATTATATTATTGTGATCTCGATTTTATCACGATTTTTTAGATACGACCAACATAACTT